GTATAAAATAAGCAAAGAAAAGGGATAGAACGAAAAAAAAAAAAAGTAGAAATACAGAGATTTCAGATGGCAGCTACCTACGATGTATTTCCTTTTTTAATTGCCAAATTTACCATCTTGAAAGAAAAGAGTTTTAAGTCTTCTTCCAAATACCAATGCTGGACACATAACATACACGTGAATATCTGGAGTTACAATTAAATCTTGCTTGTTTTGTCAATCATTAATTTTCTTATAGTCCTTTATAGATAGATGAAGGAAGGACATTATTTTAATGCCTTTGGAATCATACATTTATTTTGAATTCCATATAGACTCAATTGCTGTTTTTTGTGATTATGTTTCCTTCCAAAGACATAACCTTTTATTCTGGCAATTATCACTAGGAAAAATGCACTGCAGAGTGCTCCATAGTACCATATTGTATCTGCATGCCACTGAGAAACCAGCAACGTTCCTGCCACAGGACTCATCTAATTCTGACTTTCTTCTCCTCCTGTTAGGAGACACCTCTCCTGAACTCATACATTAAGCTCTGGAAACTTACTTATTTTTGCTGTGTGGCAATTCTTTATACAGTATATGACACTCGGCTTCAAACTGAGCTGTCTTTAAAAGATTTCCATTCTGGTTTGCACAGGTGTTACATAGCCATGAAAAAGAATATCATATTAGCTGGCTCTTACTTGTGTATTGATCAAAATAATAAAAAAACACCCTTATATTATACAACTTGTAGGAAAAAGCTTATTCTCTATTCTATTAACAATTGATTACCTGAAGACTCAAAAAATCAGCAGTAAAGCGAAACTAGGGAATTAAAAAAAACCACCTCACGAACTTTCCTATTTGCAAACTTTTATCTGAATTTATCAAGTTTTAACTTTAAATACATAATTTCAGAGGTTTATGTTGACCAGACAGTAACAAAGGGAGTTAATCAAATATGAATCTTGTCCAACTGTCTTGTCAAACCAGGTAATGATGTCCTGCCAGCCAAACTCAGAGGGAACATGTGAAACAAATACAAAAGTAAACAGGCCTTAAGCTGCCCAAGGGAAAGTCAGCAAGATGGCAATTTCAATCATTTGGAATAATACTAAAGCAGCCTTAGGCTTTTCTCAGAATGGAAACATGTCACCATTACTGCAATATTTCAACAAATCAGACTGCACAAGAAAGGAACACTTATGTAATCGCAGCCGTGGAACAGCGCTTTACTCAATGGTGAGGTGGAAAATAATTAAGAGGAAATTCCCTTTTTGCGCGTAATTGTAAACGTACCTAAATAACAAAGACAAACAAAGTCTCCTTAGAAATTTCGAGGAGCGAAAGAATCAAATTTAGGCAGAGATTCCTTTACTTTTGATACAGGAGGCTTTGGAACAACAAAGATAAAGTTCTATCAAATAAAACTATGAACATAATGTTCCTACAAAATTTATCCAATGTTGATAAATGTTACATTCAGAGCTACAAACAAAGCAAAAAGTACTTAAAGAACAATTCTGTTAAAAAGTTTCATTAAGATGAAGGTGTTGTCATATCATTTAACTGAGAAATCAAAAAATATTTCAAATATTTGGGGAACTTACCTAATCAGTAAACTTTCAGTATGTGTCTAGTCATGTAGCCATCTTTTAGTCAATCATCAGAAAATCAAAGGCAAATTGGCATGACTCAACCCAAACTTTAATACCGCATGATTGTGTCGTGTAAGCTTGTTTTGTGCGAGGGCTGCTGTGGTTTTAGCAGAGAGATTAACGACCGGACCTAAGCTGGCCTCCAAACCTTGCCCTGCTGATGCCTCAAGCCCTTTGAAGTCTGACCATCATACCTGGCAAAACAACAGTGGGAACTAGGCTGGTGTCAGATCTAATCAAGTTTCCTGCCTCAGCATAGCTAACTATGGGGTACACTAATTGGCCCAATTGCGGATTATACCTTTTGCTACAGATTCAAGACAATAATTTAGTCAAATGATGGTTTTTATCTCCTTCTAATTAAGATTCCAAAGTGGGAAGAAATAGGATTAGACAGGCTAACTTCAAAATTGTGTCCTTTAAAGTGGTATGCACATAAGATAGATCTCTGATAATATTGCATATAATAATATATTGCTAGTAACTAACGTGTGAAGATTTGGGAAAGCTTGATATAGGTACTGCACCTTTTACCATAAACATGTAAGTTTTCCTGGAAAGGGTCTACCTCATAATTTACAAATGGAAAATGAACACTCATAAATATTCATTAAAAACATTTTCATCCTGAATTAAAAAGCAATCCCTTCAGAATACATTTCAGTCAATGTTATTTTGACGAAGGAGATACAAGAAAAACTGAAACAGTTAAATGATTCTGCAGACTATAAAGAGGCAGAGTCCCTCCCACAGAACTCCAGTCTAACAAAACGGATTTGACATTTAAGGTTTTTTACTGATGCGGGCGAAACCATAAAGAGTTATTTCACTGGTGAGCAATCCAGATATGAGAAAATCCATGTCCCATGCCCTTATTTTAAACTGTAAAAAAAGAATGGTCTAGTGATGAAAATCCTTTTTGGAGAAATTTTGCCATAAATCATAGGTTGTATATTTCTAACTTTTCTTACGTAATTTGATTTTCAAGTGGCATTTCAAGTAGAAGTCAATATTTTTACCCTAAATTCTGTATATAACAAAGCAGAAGCTTTCCGAAACCTGTAATGTACTCAAAATATATTTTCATTTCACATTTAAGCTACATACTAAAGAAGTCATAAGCTTAGTTGTACTTTGTACAAAGCACACAGTTGCTTCTAACGCACTGTTGTGCTGCGTTATGTTTTTACCACCAGAACCAAACCTGACTGCTGACTCATCACATTCTAACTGCAGAAACCCATTTTAGAAGACTGTATTCACATCCCTTCTTAATTCAATTTTCCCTTGCTCCCATTTTCTTACTGACCTCATTGCTCTAGTCAGCCTAGCTGTATTCTGCCTCCCCTAATAGTATGAGCAAGACAGACATATGTATTATAGATTAGTGGAATGCGTACAGGAAGATCACAGTAGGACAGTGATCTAACATGTTCAAAAAGGGCTAGTTTGTGTCAGTTCAGCTTATAGAAATCATATCTCTAACAAAACCTGAAGTTATTCAAAAGGGGCTGCAGCTGAGCAATAAAGGGAGAAATTATACAAGTGGGTCACCTACACATGTCTAGGGCAACAGGTTGTTTCAAGAGTTCCACTACACTCCTGTTTCCAATGCTTCTGCCCCATGGCTAATTAAATTCTTTTTACAGTCTCCTGCTAAGGGTTTGTTGGGTTTTTTTTTTCCCCTTCCAAATTACCTTACAAATTAGAATCCCAAACACAGCTGACAGAAAAAATTATATTCTGAGCCAGGATTCATAGTGAGGAAAAAAACGCCAAATATTCTAATTCATAGCTATAATAAATGAGAATTTACTATGCTGTGAAATGAGGGTGCACGCTTCTCTGCACTTGTGAAAACAGTAAGAACATTTGTATTTTAAAACCAAACACAGACGATTAAGGTTTTTGTTTCTAATGTACTGCTCAACAGAAGTTGTTAAAATGGTTTCATACCTCACAATGCCTGGTTTCACTAATGGCATTCTCTGGAAAGTGAGAAACATTACAGAGGACTGTCTTTGGGAAAAAAACCCTCCTTCACATATTTGCCTTTAAGTGGCTTCTGAAGAGGATACCTCTAGTTGAGAAACTTCTAGCACTCATGCAGAGATGACCTGCATGAAGAACTGGCTGCTTGATTAACTATTAACTACTCTCAATAGGATTAGATAATTAAAGACATTGATGACCATTAATTAGGAGGAGGGTACCTTAATTTGTCACTTGATAGGGCCCTTTCAATGATTTATAGGTTAGGGCTACTTGCAATTGTGAAGGGGAGGGGGCAGTGAAGAGAGAGAACCCCTAAGTTACCTTATCAAGTGGCCAGCTAAAAAGGGCAGAGGGTCAAATAAGGGCCAAAGTGGTCACTTAAGGGTGAAGTCCCAAACACCAAAGCAGTGCCAAGCCACATTGACCATCATTTGGTGATGGAGTAAAAAATATGCTAATTTATTGGTGGCAATTCTCTCTTTTTATGGTTTCAAGCAGTTAAGACAAGTGGCCTGCTTAAGAGCTTTTCATTTGAAAAGAGATTAAACAAAATGGTTTGTCAGGGATGCTTGGCTGTTTTATGCCTTTGTTAAAAAAAATTTGCGCAGACTGTACCGATGACTATCACATCACCCTGAAAGCCATCTTCCATCTCTAAGCATTACTTGGTTAATAAATACACCAGCTCTAATTGCTTAATAGTGCTATGTTCATTTGCTCTTTAGCAAGATTAAAATGAAATACATCTTTTGTATTACTGCCTTCTATCAGGACTGTCTGCATAAAGGTCACAGAAAAAAGTTTAAATTTAGTAGGAAATTTACTTAAGGACATTAGTGTAAATGATACTGTGTTTAAAATGACATAAAAGAGCGAAAGGTGATTTCAGTAATGCAAAGAAAATGGTTTCTGAATACTGATAAGGACACTTATCCCTCATACCACACACAATTTTAGGCAGCATTATACATTAAAATCCCTCTACTGGGGTAATAACATGTAGCTACTTTCCCACCCACTAACACAAGTAAGAGCAAGTCATTAACATTTAATTAAATATGCTCCTGACATCCTTAGAAACATGTCACGCTTTGTTACTGAAGGTTGTGGCCTACTTTCTATGTACATTTTAAACCAAAATAAACTATTTATAACGGACCGATTTAGTGCAGCAAATGAGACATTTTTAATTAGAAGGCGTACTACAGTATTTTATAAAACCGTTCTGAACAGCAAAACCAGAATGAAATGAATTTACAACATCTGATGCATATTTTATGCATTTCACAAAATGAAACATAAGAGATGGGATTAGCTCCACCTTTTGGGTTCTAAATAGTGAAACAGAACTGTTTCTCTTACCTCAATGGTGAACAGCTTCCTTTTTAATCTAAAAGCAAGGTCCTTCGTGTCTGACACATCACAGATCAAGCTATTAAGCCGAGGAATCTGATGTACATGAACCAAGCCTTGTGGAAAGAAAGAGTAAAGGAGGGAAAAAAATTAAGAAAATGCTGTCATCCAGATGCATAAATTAGAGTCTTACAGCAGAATTCTGTATATTTACACACACTCATCCTCCCCTTTTTAAACTGGAGCTTACTACCAGGAGCAGTGAAGCAAACGGTGCGATTATACTCAAGTAATCAAGCAGAATAAGATAAACAGAAATCCTTGTGCGAGGAAAACTAATTGCACTTTGGTACAGAAGTACAGATGTAAAGAGGGATCTTAATACTTGTCAAAACTACAGCCGGTTTGTGTGTGATTTTCTCTTGTATTTACAGTAAGCAAATATGGCTATCACCTTGCATGCTGCCCACGGCACCACTGAGTGATCTTTATTTTATTAAATGCACCAGTAAGCAGCCAGCAAAACAAGGCTTATGGGTTACTGATAACCACTGAAGCTCTAATGAGAAGTACTTTGGTTTGCGCCCTGAAAATGACTTTTAAAAAGTTTCTGGAAAATACTGATTTAGGTCATGCTTTTCAATAAATTTTAACCCCTATGCCATCCTAGGAGAAATAAGTTTTCTTCATGCAGGAGGCTTATATAGCTGTTCAGATGTTTTTAACAGTACTAGGTGCACTGCAAGCTCTGCATTCTGTCAGCTGCAACTCAAGCTGATTTTTTCTGACAAGGACGCTGGATGGTTTTTTGTGCAGCCTAATATAGTTTCTGAACAACCTAAGGGTGATTTTCTACATCTGAAAACAAGGAAAATTCTACAGGGCTTCTCAATTACTGGCCTATATTTGCTATTCATAAAGCCAGCATCTAAATGGAAATACTGAATACTTAGAAAAGACATCTTACTTGAAAACGGCAGCTGTGAGAAAAAACCCAAACACTAAAACCCTAACTTAAAATAAGGCAAGTATTTTTTCAGGTCTCTGTTTATTTTCTAAAAGGAAGCATAAGGGAAGAAAGTTTCCTAAAATTGAAATACTTTAAAAAGCATAATTTTTATGGGTACTAATTACAAAAATTCTCAATAATATTAAAATAGTATTTTTACACTTTGAAACCTTCTATCCCTGCCTCCAGTTCAGTGACATGTAACAATTATTTGTTTGGCTTTTGAGTTCAAAATGTAAGTATCATATATAGGAACAGCAGGTATAACACAGGGTTGCTTATATACAGTATTCTAAAAATTTTATTTAAGGATTATCTGTATCACTCTTGTTATTTTATTGACTTTTCAACCATTTAAATTTGCAGGCAGCTTAATAAAATTATTAATGCAGGATTCATTAAATAATGCAGTAATTTAACCAAACTTCTCCTGAGTAGTATCAAAATCTTCCATCATCTGCAGTAAAATAAATCCCCTTAAAATATACTCTTAAGCAAAAAGAATCCACAAAGTTAAAACTGTTAAAAATACCTGGTTTTAGAATGTTAAATTAAGGTTGCCTAAACCTCAAAAGCTATGTATATTGGCATATAATTTCTATTAAGTAGTGCCAAAAATGATTTAGCATACATTTTTACAGGAAACCAGGAAATAACTGCTAACACACATTGTCTTAAAGGATCTCTTCAGTACTGAGCAAAGGAGGATCAAATTGACAGAATTATGTTAGCATAAACAAATGCCACATCACAATTATACAGTTGGAAAAATAATTAGGCAAATTATTCTAGCTTTTGTTCATGGTTTCTTTTTCAGTCACCTTTTTTCAGATAATGAAATGTGCACTATTTTCATAGTCAGAAAGATTTTTCTCTGAGTTATTAATTACAGCCTGCATACACACAGTGGTGTCTCAACACCATCTTTGCTTCTTTTTCTATATATTCTGCTATGGAAAACACTGCCACATTCTCACATGTTTACAGCAGGTTTTGGATAAGCAGTTTACTTTCAACTAAAGGTTTCCATGGAACTACAGTAGTATCACGATAATAATAGCTGTAATTTATGCACACTCAAAGCACCGCTCTGGATTAGCTAAAACTGTTTGTTATTCACTGCTTTGGCTATGCGTAACTTCTAATCTAATCTTTTAAAATTTAAGTAGTTCTGCTGCAACAGCTAACAAAATCTTTGGGAAACAAAATGCAAGACTAAACACCATTACATATTTTAAAGATACATCACTTGAAAGGCTACATGACTTTTTACCAAAATTAGTTTCATATTTTACATGCCACACATATCCACTTTCATTTCTTTAAATGCCTAAGTGCCCTAACTTAAAGCTGAAAAACAGAACATTATTTTTAGGTATAGCACATCATTTAGCAGTTTATTCACCTTAATATAATATATGTTTTTCCATGTTCTCTATTTAAAACTTGGCAGATCAAAAGTATTGATTTCATGACAAGTTCAGCTCGCTGGTCAGATGATTGCCAAGCCTCCTCTGCATGTGAATTCCCCAAAGCCTGCCTGTTGAGATGTACATCTGATTGAGCCATGCCTCAGTAATACGGCTTGACAACATGCAAGGAGTTGCCATGTTTCCTTTGCAGCCTTAATGCACTTTACTGAAAATTTTCCTAACTCAAGACTGGTTAGCAAGGAGAAACATTTAAGAGCTATATTCTAAAATGAAATCAAACGCTGCTTTATAGCAGATACCCAACTGGAGGGTAAGCCACTAAGTGCCCTAGAAACACTCAGGGCAGACTTTTTGAATTGCGAAAGATGGAACTTACCGTGGTAATCCTTGTATAATGGATTGGTTTCTCTCTCAGAGCCAATAAATGATTCAAGACCAACTACCATATCTGACAAGTTTGTTACACGTTCCATAATTGCTTTATTCTGTAAGACATGGAAACAAAATACACATCCTCTGTGATGAAAAAGGTAATTAATGTTCATAGAGTAAGCCTTGGTCTTCTCAGTGACAAACTGTGGGGAAAAAATAGGTCATCAATACTTAGAAATTACATTAGAGGGCTTTATTCTTTAAAAAAAAAAAGGACTTGAAATTTCTGTCTAAAGAAAACATACATTTGACAAGCAGAAACCATAAAAGAGCTAACTCAGCACTGAATTGGTATTTTCCTAAATCTTCATAACATAAACATTTGCTCACATCAGAGACATTTACAAGCTATGTGGCAGTTAAGCACCTCTCATTGACTTCTACTATGAGTCAGATGCCCAGCTTTTGTTTGTGTTCTGAAAACCTTTTTTTTAATACATTTAGGCATATCACTCCCTGCATTTTGAGAAAGCACAACCCTCATGATTATTCATTTTGGTCATCAGTCAAACAACATGGAAAACAAAAGCATTTTCTCCAGCACTTTTCTTTCTAAAAGTTCCTCTCTACACAACACATGAATCTAAAGCTTCAAGCTGCGTTACCTTTTCTCAATATATTTGTGATTTGTAAGTGATGCCTTATGTCTTGTGCAACAATGTACTGTCACGTGCCTTAAATAACCCGTTTTCCCCATAGTTTTCTTTACTTAATTTTATATAGCAGAAAGCAATACTCAAAGGTCACAACAGAGCTCTTCAGAGGTAACTCAGGATAAAATGTTCTTAAATGCTTTGTGATGTCAGTATTTAATAAGCAAAAAAAAAAAAAAAAAAAAGAGAAAAATCTGTGCTGAAAAGGAAAATATTTCTTTAAGATAAGAAGTAGTTTTCTTAAAGCTGCCTGGACAGCTGGTATACTCTTGTTCTTGATGGCTGTAGGTGCTATACCCATCATACCTTCAGGGGTATCAAGATCAATCACCTCAAAAACCCCATTCCAAGTATGGAGAATTAGCTCTGTAGCTCCAAGTCATAGTTTTGTATTTTTTATTAAAGCATTTTGTACATTCTGCACTTCCTTCATAAACTATATGACTGGCGCATATTATGAAAGGTCAATTTCAATGCTGGCAAACTATTTGATAATAACAATTTATAAAGTAATTAGGAGCAGAGAGAAGGGAAACATCCTTAGGTATGTTAGAAAAGTCTATGCATTGTACTGACACACAGGTTTATTAAAATGGTGATCAATACACCAATTGCTTTCATGAACCCCCATTTCAATAACAGCGTATTTCCTAGCCACAGAGAAGCCTACAAAGCAGATGTGAAAGGTGAACGTTTCTGACTCCCATCAAAGAACAATGTGAATTCTGGTTTTTGACCACTACATAAAATAACTTGTGGCTTGTCCTGCACAGTCCAATCTGCTCAGGTTACAAGGCCTAAACCCACAGATCCCATGGTACCTTTTCACGCCCTCCCTTCTGCACCTTATGGGCCAGATGGCATTAAATCCTGGGGACTGGTCTCTTTTCAAAGCTGCTACTTGTGCACAGGCCAAAAAGATCTATCCCCATGGAATCAGGGAACTTCAATTTTACCTACAAAGTCTAATGATGGATAATGATAAAACAGTGTTATACTACAGAATTTCCTTTCTGAGGAATAAGCAAAATAATATAAGTGATCTGAGGTAAAAGAACACTGCCTACACATCAATCCCTAAACTTCGTTATTATATACACCCCTGAAATATTAAAGCTGACTTGCAAATTATTTCCTCTTCTAGGAAAGAGAGAGACAGTATAGTGTATTTTGATGGAAACTTTTGGTCACATTATTCTACAGGGGCACTCACATAAAGATGGTATAAATATAAATCTGAAGTAGCCAGTGACCTCTATAATTCCACAGACCAGAAATTACTGTGTTTTGCCAGTTCTTCAGCAGGCTGCTGGATGTTATTTGTATAAGCAAGAAATACAAAATCATTACATAAATAAAACACTGATGATTTCTGGAAGCTAACCTAAACTCTTGGTATAGAAAAAATATTCTATAATTTGAAAAAACATTTGATGTCCAATTAACATTTTCGCTTGCTGGTTTTGATAACAATGGGTTACAAAAACTGTGGATAGAAAGATGCTCAACCATCGGCAAGGTATCCTCATCATTAACAGTCCTGCAAATCGTAACAATAGCACCTTTACTATTTGGTCTTAATTCTGGAAAGATTAAAGTGAAGGACAGCAATTAAATCTTTGCCTAATGATACGTACTTCAATATGTTGGTTTCAGCTCTTCTTCTGAACAGGTCTGCTTTCTTAAATTGTAGTCTGTTTGCCCATGCTGATTTTGTTTTTGTTTTTAAAGTGTGTCAAACTATTCTCCTGGCTTAATGCAGTGTATCTTGGGAAATGTTTTCCACAGTGAATTGCCACACCAAATAGACATTTGCTTATGTGGCATTGTTGCCATAGATCTGTATCTATCATGTATTTTCTAGTTTGCAGTGTTCAGCACATTAATGTCCAATCAAAGCTGACGTCAGCACACAGATAGTTGTGATGTATGGCACACTGACATAAACACACAAATCATGTTGCCCCATCTGGGCTTGAAAATTTAACAGAGCTCCAGATCCTCCTCCAGCCCCATACAAATCTACCTCCTGCTTCTGGCATAAACTTGGCAGCTCTGGAGGTGAGCCAGGACATGGTTAGGAGGGAAGCCAGGAATGGGGAGATTCAGGAAGAGGTATTGTTTTAAATTACACTAAAAAATAAAAAAACCCCAAGCCAGTCCTGGAAAGTTTTCAGTCTTGCTAGATGAACTGCAGTTTTTCTAAATTAGTTAGTTCAGCCAAAATGTAATTATTCTAACAACATGGTAGCAACCCTGTTGTGCAGGCTGGGCTGGGCATCCATTCTATATCTTACTTTGTGCTCACTGTTTTAGAGAGACATTTTCTTTTAAGTGCAAACTAGGAATATCTGGGCTCAACCAAAGTGTACTTTCAAAACAATGTCTCAAGAAAATCCATGTAGCTAGTTGGATATGTAAATGGGAACTATACATATTTGTTTGACCAGCTTTTGGGAAGTGCAATTATGGAAAAAGATTGCTTTGTCCTACTAATTTAGTTGCAGAATTGACATAGCTTTGAGTAGTTATTTGTGCATGTTTAAATATACTTATTTACAAATAAAGCAGTTCAAAATGTACCATCCTCCGTGTCTGATTATAAAGCATGGTATTCTACCAACACAAATACATGTATAGTCTGTATGCTCAAAGTTACAACCTGAAATTAATACTGGGTGTTTCTACTGGATTGAGTTCTTAATGTACTACAATTTTATTATTACTACTATAAATCAAATCAAACTTGGTTCATCTGGATCCTTATTAGGAAAAAAATCTATCTTTTTCTACTCTGCTCTAATTTCTAGTTCTCCTCGGAATTCCTGTCAGAATTTTTCTAACACCCAGAGATATGTCCTCCCATTTTTATTTTGTCACTTTCTAAAGAAATTCAACACCTCACAAAATTTACGTAATAAAAATGTTTAAGTTCTCAGTCCTTGCGCTGCATTAAGTAAAGAAAAGTCAAAGAATGGAAAATTTTCTTAGAACAGCTTCAACTTTTCCACATAGTATGTATAAACAATCTCAAACTTTAAAAGGAAAATAAGAGACTCATGTTAAAGAACTACAATGAGAACCAACCAGCACCTGTATAAATACATTAAGCTCCTGAATCACATGGGCTTTGTATATTTGCATTTGTATTCTGATCAATACATTAAAGTAATGTCTCTTTTCAAAGAGACAATAGGCCTGTATTTTGATAGAGGGCTATATTTGACTTCTGTACCTTTATACTGTGGTAAGCTAATCCCATCACTGATTTTATTTTAAAACATTTAGTTAAGAGTTAATACATTGAATGCTAAAATGGGTTTCATTACCTAAAAAACTATTTACAAAAAACTGCTAGCACTGGGACAAAACCCAGTTTAAACAGTGAGTTGCACACATTCCGTATGGCAGCACAGAATTTAAAGATGAATTCAGATATTCCCCCCAAGTCTAGGTAAAACTGTAATTGTAGGCAGCAATGTGTTGTTTCCAACAGGTGAGTCCAGTAATCCTGATGCTTCATTTGAAAGAAGGTCTCAATAATAAACAGCAAGCAAGCAAGTGCATGCAAAGTAGTATCAACCTTATGAACTTAAAGCAAATTTTGGTGTGTGAATTTAAGGGAAAAAAAAAACCAAATTGGTTGTGTCTTTTTTTGTTTCTGTTACATTCTGTCATAAAGCTGAAGTAAGCTTAGTACAGTAATGCAGGCAGCCACATTGGAGTATAATGAAACACTGGCTGGATATTCAATAGATGAAATAATTCTTGATATTTTCTGAGAGATTATCACACAATGATGTGGTAATGGCTTCACAATATACAAATGTTTACCACTTGTCATTACTACTTAATCTCCAAAGGATTTTAAATTGAAAAGATAAATTATTAATATTAAGAAACATGGCTTAAATATTTATCACCATTTGTTAATAATTACTGCTCAGAAAATCACAGAATTACCCATAAATTTTATTTTGGTAAAAGAAGTTAGGTGTTAGAACCTTGTACTAGTTTTATAGAGACACAGTTTGTGTACTTTTTCATTATTCACAAAACCTAAAAGATTAATAACCGCTCTGCCAAAAAGTGTTATATCAGTAATTAATAAAGACTGTAAAGTACAAAATTCTATACTTATTCTGACTCCAAGTTGATTACCACTGTTCTCAGTGCTTCCATACACCAAATCTACTAACTGAACTTTGAATTTTGGCTCTAAAATGACTGTACACTCAGAACACTGGAACACAAGATGAGAAACGGTACAGTAACAAATTTGGGTATGCAGAAATCTATATCAATATCACAAGAAAACTGAATACAAGCATGATGTCTTTGCTGGAAGACAGATATCCTAGAAACATACTTCAAGGATTTTCTACAAACTACGATGCCTT